AGTTATCTAAATCCATCAGGAGTCACATTGGGTCTATGTGGTGACATCTCATCAGTGACAGAGCATGTTCTTCATCTGTATGAATGTGGATTCCTGTTTTTTCATGACAACATCTATTTTTTTTATTTGTTTCTTCTTTATGTGCCTCTATTTATGTGGCTATTTCTTTGAGAGTTTTGCTCATTTCCTCCTTATGTGCCTCTAAACTTGATAAGCATATCTTTAAAATAATTTTCCTTTGTTTCCAGTGAATAAAAATATCTATCAATTGAGGGGGTGGGGCTGCTGGTGAAGCCATGATGTCCTGATTTTTGTTGGGTGTGCTCTTAGGCCTGCTTCTAGCCATCTGATGGTCAATAGCCATTGCCGTTTGTTCTTGGAGCCTGACCTGCAGACTGGGTAGTCTGTGTCTGGAGTCTGGAGTCAGAGATGAACGAGGTCCACCTGTTTGGTGTTTCAGGTGCAGCCAAGGGAGGAAGGCCACAGGCACAAGTGCTCAGGTGCAGGAGCGTGTGTGAGGTTGCCTGCCTGGAAGCCTGTAGTGAAAGGGAGAAGCAGGAGCAGGTGCCGACCTTCGTGCAGGCGCCTTTTTCCCAGGTGCAGTGCACCTGCCCAGGTGCTTGAATGGGTCGGTGCCCACAGGCTTGACCAGGTGTTGCCCTCCAGGGCTCAGATCCCTCTGGGCTGAGCCATCTTGGTTCCAGCCATTGTTTGGCTGGACTCCCTGGGTCGACCCACAGAGCAGGAGCTTCAATGTTGAGAATGCTTTCCCAGGGATCCCTTGTTGCCCACAGTGGGGGTGTGGAGAGTGGGATCCAATGTCTGGCTGCTAGTGCAGGAAACCCCAATCTATGGCTCTTTATGCACTCTTTTTAGAAGCACTCTCTCACAGATGTGTCTGGAACGTGCAGAGTGCCCTTGAGTACTCACTGGCAGGTGTGTGTGGAAAGTGCTGAGGGCCCGAGAGCTGACTGGCAGGCAGGTGTGGGAAGTGCAGAGAGCCCACAATTCCTCACTTGCAGACAGGTGTGCAAAGCGCAGAGGGCCTGCAAACTCACTCTTAGGCTTATGTGGTAGGCTCAGAGAGCCCACAGTTTACTGCTTTCTGACCTGGGTCCACTGTTTGGCTTTTAGCGTAAGGAGGCACCTAGCACCTGGGGTTATGCACTCCCCACAGCTGCTGGGCTGCAGGGACAAGCTGAGCAAGGGAAGGTGCGGCTGAGCGTGCAGGGGGCCAATAGTTGGCCATGCCAGACCCCCCAGAGAGGTCCATAGGGCACCTGGATCCAATTTGTCCCGGCTCATGGGTTTTCCCCTCTAGCTCAGGAAGCCTCAAAGTCGAGCCTCTGGCTTCAGTTGGCCATCCACTCACCAGTTTTGGAGTTTGAGATCTTCTGCCCTTCAGAAATGGTACCCACTGGTCTCCACCATTTTGGAGCTCCTATGGTGAAGAGTTTAAGTTAGCCTGGGTATAGTTAGCCTGAGCATAACTCCATTTTGAAATAAAGAACCGTCTTGACTGGGAGCTGAATTCAGGTACCAGGAAATATCTTAAAATATGCACTTGGCAGAAAACATAGTTGAGTCTCCTAGCAACACCCTCCAGTAAATATCACAGAATAAATACTTCATAGTAAATAGATACAATCTCCCTGGCAATAATCAATGAGAATAGATTCGGAATCAGGTGGGAAAATTCTCCCAAATGTTTCAGACATAGTTTAAAAGAATAGCCATTGTGATCATATGTCTTAGGCAATTGTGCCTCAGAAAGGCATATGCCTTAGGCAATTGTACCTCAGAGAAGGTCACCTTGCCCCTCTAAGTTTTACCTAATCCTGTAAGGTCAAGGCATGTGCCCTCCTGTTTGCTGTTATGAAAACATGTCCCCCCCTCCTCCTCGCTTGTTGCCATGGAAACCTCCTGCTCACAGATTTTCCCTTTAAAAATCCTGTTCACTCAGAGCTTGAGGTCCCACTTCTCTACAGCTACGTCAGTGAGACTTGGGTCCCGAGTTTGATCGCTCTCATAATAAAACTCTCTTGCTATTGCATCAAGCCGTCTCCTGGTGGTCTCTGAGGGTCCCATGAACCTGGCATTACAATGTGTATAAATATTGAAAACTTTTTGTGGTCTGCATTTTTCCTGTATAAGATTTCTTTGTAATATTTTATTCTTTTTGTTTATACATAAATGGAATTTTATTTGGAAAAATACACACTTGACCTGTCATATTTCTCATCCAAATAATTTGATAAAGTCTTTTTTCATGATGGCTCTCAGCATTTCCAGAAAACTTAACTATGGTAACCTTGCATTAAATAAAGCATCTAGCATCTTTTCCATTTTTTTCCTTTCTCCTCATTGCCTAACAACATTTGGTTAAGATTAGATTGATATAATGCATGCTTTTGATAACTTAGTCAATAATTCTTTATTATCAGTTTCACTGATTCATTTTATGGTTGCAAAGTAAAATTACACGGTTGGATTCTATCTTAACTCTTCTCACACCTTCCAAGTCTAGGTATAGATAACAGAAGTGTGTAAAATACCTCCTTCCTCATTTTATTTACTTTCACACAGTACAAAATATAGAACCTGGTTATTGCTACTGTTCTCTTTTCTACAGTAGTTATACTTTCAATGTTGTGGTGTGTGTGTGTGTGTGTGTGTGTGTGTGTGTGTGTGTGTGTGTTTATAAATACATGACTGTGCAAGTTGTCAGTGAGAGAACATTTCAGGAGTTCGTTCTCTCCTTCCCCTTTGTTGACACAGGATTTCTGCTGTTTCTGCTGCTGTGCTGTACACACCAGAATTCCCATTAGTTTGAGACCAAACTTCCTGTCACCCTCTTCCCTCTCTGGGTAGGCATGTTGGATTTCCATACACATTCTACGACCTGGTGCATTTTATGCAGGTTTCAGGACTGAACTTAGGATGCCAGGATTGTGTATCAAGTGCCTTTATTTCTGATCTGTTTCAGGGACCTGGCAGTAGTTAAAGTTTAAGACAATTACAAACACAAGGACATTAAACCACCTCTATTCTCCATGTTTCTCTGTAGGCTGAGGTTCTGATCAGACTAGCATGCAATGGTCCCCTTGCTCCACCATGTGCTGAGGAATACAGGTTATAGTTCTAAATCCCGCAATGTCAGAGACTCTGCGAAGGGGTTGTTTAATGATAATGAGCTTTATTAGACATGCTGGGGATATGCAGTATGCTTCTGTCATCTGTGAATCTGTTTGATTTTACAGTCTGTGTAAAAATTCTCCTGTCTTTTCTCTACCCTAGGTCCTACAGAGTTGAGATTCTCCTCAATTTGAATGGGACATAGATTACCTTTGTTTAGATTTGTGTGCAACTCTCTCTTTCTCTGTCTCTCTGTCTTCCTCTGTGCATATGAAAGAGAAAGAGACAGAGACAGAGACACAAACAGAGACAGATAACAGCTTATGTATGTTCCTCTTAGATTACCGGGTTTGAGTTTATGTGCTTGCCACCAAATTGATTTGTTTAGAAATATTTACACCAGAAATTTTCATATAGTCTTGGTTTGTTAATTGATATGCTGGGTTTTGAATGCAGCATCTTTGACCTTCAATGTTTCCTCTCTGCCCTTATAACTTTTCTCTCCCATTTCCATTTTTGTCTGTTTGTTTGCTGTGGAATTACCTGCTACACCTGTTGGTTTGCTGCTTGTCATAACTAATGGCCAGGGCTCACAGAGAGCAAGCTGCCCTGCGTGGAGGTAATCTCCCTGGCTCCTTCCTTTGATTCTCTCTCTCAGCAGGCTTTGCTTCTCCCAGGTTCAGTCTCTACATGCTCCACAGTTTCTGAAGTGATCCTGAGCACCTGAATCACAATCCCACTGTGCCTCCTAGGCTTCTGTGCTCTAAGTGTGACCTGTAGTTTGAGCTGCTTTGTTCCTATTGCTAATGAGTGAGAACAACATTATTCTGCATTATTAGCAATACTCAGCTGCTTTATCTTCAGTGCTGGAAACTGAAGCCATTTTAAATTTGAATCAGCAACTTAATAGAAAAACCCATCTGTTCAATTGTTCTATCACCATATCAGTCACCATTAAAGCAGAGAAGGCTGGACATAGAGAAACCTTGTGGAATTCGTGATGAACTGAGTTGAGTGAAGAGTCATCAGTACTTCATCCTGTATGTCTATTTCCATAAAAAGGAAGAGCAAACTCAAGGACTCCTGGTAAGACCAGGACAGGTAGTTGCCTAAGTTGTGATGTGAAAGAAGCTGAGCAAGAAAGAAAAGCCAAGAGGAGGTGTGTTGAGAGTGCGAGGATCCTTCCAAATGGGCTGGAGGGGCAACATGGAGGACATCAGCCGTCAAATGCTGAGCTGTACGCTGAAGCTCATCTTATCAGTCTCTCCCTGTTTCTTGTAAGAAATTGGTAAATGTGCAGGAATCGGCTGAAACAGACAAAAACACAGTAATTTAATGCCCTTGGGTACACATATCTGGACAAGGCCTAAACAGGTTGCTGGGTGAACACTGGAATTCAGTCAAGTCACATGATCTCAATAAAGAAAGGTGGTTTCCACTCTCAGGGAAGAGCTGTGCTTGGGCTAGAGCTGACTCTGGTAATGCTCTGTCCACCAAAGTTAAGCCCAGAGAGTGAAAGAAGAAAGCTCTGGAGCCTGTAACAAAACAGTGGCAACTGCCCTCTACAATTCAGGACTTGGGGAATAAGGTGGAAATTAACAGCAAAATGCATGTTTTGATTGCAAAAAGGAAGTAAATGAGTCTCAGTTTGAACCAAGGAAAAACAGCTTACTATAGCACAAACATTTGCAGCCATTTTCTTTATTGGCTGACACTCACAGCACACTGACTAACAACCAGTAAGTGTCTTCTCCTGCCTCCATCGACAGAACTTGTTATATATCAGGAAGACATGCAAATAAGGTCTCTCTCTCTCTCCTCATTAAAACCAGCCAGCACTGACCCTGAAGCTCAGGCCAAGGAGATCAGGCCTGATTCCTAGGTCTCCTTATTCAGGGATCAGCACTGAACATAGACCACACCATGGATTTCCGTCTGATTTTGGTTTTTCTTGCTGCTCTTTTAAAAGGTAATTCATAGGCAGGAGGAGATACTGAGTCCATCAGTGGACACGGTGAGATGGATAGTGAGCTTGTATGACAGTTTCCTGACAGGATTCTTTCTGTTTGCAGGTGTCCAGTGTGAGGTGCAGCTTGTAGAGTCTGGGGGAGACGTGGTGCAGCCTGGGGGCTCCCTGAAACTTTCCTGTGTAGGCTCTGGATTCACTTTTACTAGCTACTGGATGCATTGGGTCCGCCAGGCTCCAGGGAAGGGCTTGGAGTGGGTTGGAGCAATTAATCCAAATGATGGTACAACACACTATGCACCGTCCCTGAAGGACCGATTCGCCATCTCCAGAGACAACGCCAAGAGCACTGTTTACCTGCAGATGAGCAAAGTGAGAGCTGAGGACACGGCCACTTATTACTGTGCAAGAGACACAATGAGGGGACCTCGGTGTGGACCCAGACATGAACCTCACTGTGAGGCCGCTCACGACCGCCAGGGGGCGCACAGCACACAGAGAACACAGGTTCCCCTCAGGAGATGATGCAGAGAAGATGAAGCACTCATCTCAAGGGCTGGGCTGCATTTTTTCTTACATTTCTCTGGGAGGTCTCTCTGGATGTATGTTCTGATGGGATCCGATGTTCTCAAAACGGTAAAGTCTCTCTTGAAAGCACATGTCACAGTCCCTGCAGGCACATTATAAGGAAGTTCCTGGATGTTCCAGACATTCAGACTCACTCTCTCTTTCTCCACATTTAACACAGACTTTGATCATATTTCTTGATCATAAAACCACATCTGTTTAAGAAAAAAAAAACAAGAGTACGGTGGGGCCGAGATCATCAGACCTAAAATGCCAGCAGTTCTCAAGCCTCCCCCTCTCTGAGGCCTGTGCGTATCAGATCCAGATGTCACCTGGCAGTACTTTTAGATGACTCAGGGTATTATGACATCACCTTCTTCTGTGTTCAACATGAAAATGTGAGTGTACTGCTGCCTTCAAGAAAATGTCACAAGAAGTTAGATTAAAAGAGATCTAGTCAGGAAGAAAATCACACACACACACATGCAAGAGAGAGGGATAGAGAGAGAAACAGAGATAGAGAGACTGAGACACAGAGACTGAAGAATTTGCCATTGTTCTCTAAATCCACATGGGTCACACTGGGTCTATGTTATGTCATCTCATCACTGACAGAGCCAACTCATTTCTCTAAGAGACAGAAAAAGAGCCTCAGGCTCTGGTGAGTTTCCTTCACTGTGTGAGAAACTAAGAACATCTTAGTTACTTTTCTACTGCTGGGATAAGACACCATGACCATGGCCTGTTTTAAAAGGGACATTTATTTCAGCTTACAGCTTCAGAGCCTCACAGTGGGTGATGACTAAGCAACAACTTGGTGTCTGGAGCAGCAGCTGAGGGCTCACAGCCTGGTGCACAAGCAGAAAGCAGAGAGACACACTGAAATGACCTGTGCCTTTCACAACCTCAGAGCCTTCCCCTATAACATATTTCCCCCATAACCTCTACATATCCTTTCCTTGTCCCCACCCTTCCCATTTGTAGACAGTTTCATTTCCATTTCTTTACTAATTGCATACGTGGTTGTTTCTAAGCAGGCAATATGTAAGGACTACAAATGAGAAATTCATGCAAAATCTGTGTTTCTGGGGTCTTAATTTATTTAATGAAATTATCATTAGTTACATCCATTTTCCTAATAGTGGAGTGAGATGAAAAATTTATGCTATGTTGTGCTTCTATCATGTTTTCTTTATTCAATCGTTCAAGTTACAGAAGTGTTGGTTGTTACTGTAATTCAGTGCTTGTAGAATATGAGGAAAAATGACCATTTGTGTGCACAGATTTCTGCAGTATACGCACTTGTAGTCAGTGGCGTAAGTTTTTAGTATCTTCCTGCTGGTAAAATATGTAAGAAGGTTGTAAATCCTTGTAACTTAGGGGTTTTCAAAATTTTCAGCAACCGTTATCCTCATCACAACCACAACCTGAAAATCAATTTTTCACGTAGAGGAACAAAAGTCTCAGGCTGGGATTCTGATTAAAACTGAGAGATTAGGACTGGATGTTACATCCATAGGGTATGCACATGTGTCAAGATGGTTATTTCCTCAGACAGGATTAGAACTTGGACCTCATAATCCTGCTGTCTGACCCAGGAGTCCTCATGTCCTTCTTCTCCAGCTCATCTAGGTTCTTATGTAAGAAAGACCTGCCTTGTGAATATGCAAATTATGGGAGTCTTTGGCAGTAAATAGTGGGATAGCAACGCCAAACAGCAACATATGTTCGCTGTGCTCCCCACAGTCACTGAGTACACAGGACCTCACCATGGGATGGAGCTGGGTCGTCCTCTTCCTGTTGGCAGCAGCTACAGGTAAGGGACTCACCAGTTCCAAATCTGAAGAGGAGACAGGGACTGAGATGACAATGCCATCCACTCTGCCTTTCTCTCCACAGGTGTCCACTCGCAGGTCCAGCTGCAGCAGTCTGGGTCTGAGGTGGGGAGACCTGGGTCCTCAGTGAAGCTGTCCTGCAAGGCTTCTGGATACAACTTTGCCAGCTACTATATGCACTGGGTGAAGCAGAGGCCTGGACAGGGGCTGGAGTGGATTGTATGGATTGGTTGTGGAGGTGGTGGTACTAGCTTTAACCAGAAGTTCCAGGGCAAGGCCACACTGACTGTAGACACATCCTCCAGCACAGTCTACATGGAGCTCCGCAGCCTGACAACTGAAGACTCTGCAGTCTATTACTGTGCAAGAGATTATCACAGTGCTGCAACCACATCCTGAGTCTGTCAGAAAACCTAGAGGAGCAGGAAGCTGCCCTGAAAGTGAGATGACAGAACAGATTATCCTGAACAGTGGCTTAGAAATAGTCATCCTATAGCAGAAACTTGATTTTTTTATAAAGAAGCCAAACCACATAATGGAAAAAGGATAGCATCTCCAAGAATGGTCTACCTGGATGTCTACATTTAAAAAATGCAAATAGATTCATATTTATGATGCTGAATGAAAGTAAAGTCAAAGGTCCCAACAAAACACTAGACACACTAAATGTATTAAAAGAAAAATTTGGAAAGGAACTTGATCTCATTGGCAAAGGAGACAACTTCCGAACAGAACACAAAACGCTCAGGCCCTAAGACGAATAATTAAAAATGGGGCCTCATGAAACTGAGATGCTTCTGTAAAGCAAAGAACAGTATCCATAGAACAAAATGACAGTATACAGACTTGGAGAAAGTCTTCACCAACCCTACATCTGACAGGGAGCTAATATCCAAAAATCAAAAGATGAGGTAACACCAATACTCCTGAAACTATTCCACAAGATAGAAACAGAAGGAACACTACCAAACTCATTCTTTGAAGCCACAGTCACCTTGGTACCTAAACCTCACAAAGACCCAACAAAGAAAGAGAACTTCAGACCAATCTCCCTCATGAACATTGATACAAAAATACTCAAGAAAATACTTGCAAACCGAATCCAAGAACATATCAAAGACATCATCCACTGAACATAGTAAAGGCAATATACAGGAAGCCTAAAGCCAACATCAAACTCAATGGAGAGAAACTTAAATCATTCCCACTGAAATCAGGGATAAGGCAAGGCTGTCCACTCTCTCCATATCTCTTCAACATTTTTCTTGAAGTCCTAGCCAGAGCAATAAGACAATTGAAAGAGATCAAGGGGATACAAATTGGGAAAGAAGAAGTCAAAGTATCACTGTTTGAAGATGATATGATAGTATACATGAGTGACCCCAAAAACTCTACCAGGAAACTCCTACAGCTGATTAACACTTTCAGCAAAGTGACTGGATACAAAATTAACTAAAATAAATTAGTAGCCTTCCTGTATACAAAGGACAAATGGGCTGAGAAAGAAATTAGGGAAACAACACCCTTCACAATAGCCACAATGACATAAAGTACCTTGGTGTGAACCTAACCAAGCATGTCAAAGACTTGTATGAAAAAAATTTCCAGTCTCTAAAGAAAGAATTAGAAGATGATATCAGAAGATGGAAAGATCTCCCATGCTCATGGCTTGGCAGGATTAACATAGTAAAAATGGCCATCTTACCAAAAGCAATCTACAGATTCAATGCAATTCCCATCAAATTACCAACACAATTCTTTACAGACCTTGAAAGAAAAATTCTCACCTTCATATGGAGCAACAGGAAACCCAGAATTGCAAAAACAAATCTCTACAGTAAAAGATCTTCAGGAGGTATCTCCATCCCTGATCTCAAGCTGTACTATAGAGCAACAATACTAAAAACTGCACGGTACTGGCATAGAAACAGACTGGTGGATCAATGGAATCGAATAGAAGACCCTGACATAAATCCACACACATATGGACACCTGATTTTTGAAAAAGATGCCCAAATGATTCAATGAAAAAAAGACAGCATCTTCAACAAATGGTGCTGTCTAACTGGAGGTCTACTTGTAGAAAAATGCAAATAGATCCATACTTATCACCCTGCAAAAAACTAAAGTCCAAGTGGATCAAAGGCCTCAACATAAAACCAGACACACTAAACCGCTTAGAAGAAAAAATGGGGAATACCCTGGAACTCATTGGCACAGGAGACAACTTCCTGAACAGAACACTAACAGCACAGGCTCTAAGAGCAACAATCAATAAATGGGACCTCATGAAACTGAAAAGCTTCTGTAAAGGAAAGCCCACTGTCCTCAAAACAAAAGGACAGCGTACAGATTGGGAAAAGAACTTCACCAATCATATATCTGACAGAGGGCTAATATCCAGTATATATAAAGAACTAAAGAAGTTAAACAGCAAAAAATCAGTAATCCAATTAAAAAATGGGGTACAGAGTTAAACAGAGAATTCTCTGCAGAGGAATATCCAATGGCAGAGAAACTCTTAAAGAAATGCTCAGCCTCATTAACCATCAGGAAAATGCAAATCAAAACAACCCTAAGATTTCACATTACATTCATCAGAATGGCTAAGATCAAAAAGTCAAGAGAAAACACATGCTGGAGAGGTTGTGGAGAAAGAGGAACCCTACTCCAATGCTGGTGGGAATGTAAACTTTTACAACCACTCTGGAATGCAATCTAGTGCTTTCTCAGACAACTAGGAATAGCACTTCCTCAAGAGCCAGCTATACCATTCCTAGGCATGTATCCAAAAGTTCCTCAAGTACACAATAATGACATTTGCTCAACGATGTTTGTAGCAGCTTTATTTGTAATAGCCAAAAGCTAGAAACGACCCAGATGCCCCTCATTGGAGGAATGGATGCACAAATTGTGGTATATCTACACAATGGAATATTACTCAGCAATAAAAACAAGGAAATCATGAAATTTGCAGGTAAATGGTGGGATCTGGAAAAGATCATCCTGAGTGAGCTATCCCAGAAGCAGAAAGATGCACATGTTATATACTCACTCATATAGACATATAATATAAAATAAACCTACTAAAATCTGTACACCTAAAGAAACTAATTAAGAGGG